ATAGAAGTATCAAAATTTGAAGATCAAAGATCAAAAATTCTGAAAAATTAAAAGTTGAAGATACCAAAAATCATACAAAAAGGTGGTGAATTCAAAGTACAAATTGAAGAACAAATGTCAAAGTTGAAGAATTCAAGAGCTTCATTGTGGTATCTTAAAGTTGTAATTCTCTAGTTTATGTATGCTTGGGTAGCTTTACAAAAATACCTTGAGGTTAAAAAGATTTTATGCGGATGGATTCGGAGAGATGCATAAAATGAGCATTGTTCAAAAGAAGTGGGTGAGTGTTTATGAGGATTGTGAGTATTTAGAATTGAAGGGGGTTACTTAGGAAAAATTTTAGACACAAATGCACGCGTTGAGGTCTTGGCATAATGGTTGAGTTTGAGTTGGATTGTTCTATGTGATGTTGGTGATGAAGGTTTAAGTTTAATAATAGTTAAATTTGCTTGAGGTCAAGCAAATCACAAGTGTGGGGTATTTTGATATTGCCATATTTATACATAATTTTAGGCGATAATTATTTACATTTTTACTAACAATTTGGTTATTTGCATAGAATAATGGTACTTATAAGCTAAAATTATATTTTGCAACCAAATAGAAGCATTTTCGAAGATAGGGACTGAAATTGACAAAACATGGAACTTTGGAGGCTTGAAGGAAAGAAGAATGGAAAATTCAGCAATTGACGTACTCACGACGTGAATAGTTCAGGATTCACGACGTGAGTGAAGAATTCTAAAAGATATGCATCCGGGTGGAAGAATCCTTGTCGAACACGAAATTGTCATATTCACGACATGATGCTTATCGATTTACGACGTGAATCTGGAAAATCCAGAAAATATATAAACTCTTGGTCATTACGAATTGGAAACTTTTTTGGCTGATAGAAAGAAGACTTGGAGACGAATTTTAGAGGAGAAAAAGTTCTGGAATAGAGTTCACACCAAAGGAAGAGAGAGGATATAATTCATTCGATTGTTTGGTACTTTGACATGTTTATTACTTTGAATATAACTTATACTTGTTTGATTGCTGCTATGAGTAGCTGAATCCAACTACTCATGTTTAGCTAGATGAAGCTTATGACATATGGTTTAGTTTAATTTATCATGGATTGTTAGTTAGTAATTTGCTTGTGTTCGATTCCTTACTACCTAGAATGTTAATAATTGTTTCTTTAGTTGCTTGAACTCATGTTTTGTGTAGTTAGTGAACATTGAACTGCATGAACTTGTTAACCTAGTGAATTAGTGAACACTAAATTGCTAGAGCTAGGATCGACCAAAATCTTAGATAGTAATTGAAGTAAATAAATATAGTTGTGCTAGAGAACATAAATTATGACCATAGTTGTGTTTGTATAATAAATCTTACATAGCATACCCATAATCTATAACTGGTTCTGTGTTTGATTGTGTGTGACCATGCATAGTTTTACATGAATTAGTCAAATATTAGTAAATTTGGACTTAAATTGCTAATAATATAATATTTGGTGACCAACTTGATAATCCATAATTGTTAACTAACCATAAGGCAGAAGTGGATTCGAACTAAACAGGAGTGTTTTTAGTAATTGATTGAATTTGAGTAAAGTTCGTATGATCTTGTAAAATCAGATAAAACCCTTTTAAGTTGTTAATAATTAGGCTAATTTAGTAGTAAGTAGATTAATTAGTTACACCGTTCCCTGCGATCGACACCCGACTTACCCAACTATTCTATAATTCGACTAGGTACACTGCCTAGGTGCATTTTAGTTAGTTAATTTAGTTAGGTTATAAATTATAAAATTAGTGGGTACTTTTGTGCACATCATGGCGTTTCTCCTCTTTTCTCCACACCAATTCACTCCAGCTCTCTCCCAAACACCCCAAACCTTCTATTATTTCCCCTAGCACCTCCTAGGTGTTAGAAGCGAGTCCCAGAGTGCCAGAATTCCCCGAGAAGAAGAGGTTTCGGCTCAGAAGTTCTGCCCGCGCAGAGCCCGGTTCTTCGCTAAACTCCCTTGTTTCGTCGAAGAAAAAGACGATTGTTAGAAGCGAAGCGTTGCCCGAATTTCGAGTCATCTCTTTAACAAGTGATTGCATAGTTACTTTCATCTTACACATAGATATGAAGTATTTAATATTAATACATTCTATATGTGTTTATTATCTGTGTTTATGATATCTATGTTGGATGAACAATTTATACATGTTTTACTTGATTTAAACTGTATATGTATTTTTATACCTATAAATATATTGGGTAAAGATGGGTAGATGAAAGATGATATGGATAATGAGAGATGAAAGATGATATAGATGTTGATAGGTGAAAGATGATGAGAAGCCTTGACTGAAACGATGATCCAGTCATCTAACAGAGTATAGATGACGACCACAGACAATTCTAGACAGTCCAGTGGAACACTTGCAGGCTCGCAACCTGTAGGTGTTTTTGAACTGCGTGTTCACCAGATGTATTCTAAAAACCCTAGCAGCTATGGACTTAGTGCCTTATGAATGGACGTTGTCAGCTATGAATTTAGTGCCCTATAGATGATCATTGGCAGCTATGGACTTAGTGCCTTACAAATGAACGTTGGCAGCTATGGATTTAGTGCCTAATAGATAACATCGACAACTATGGATTTAGTGCCTGATAAATAAACCCTGACAGCGATGGACTTTGTGCCTATTCCTTAGGACAATCCTTAGGAATAAATGAATGAATGATAGATGATTATTAGGGTAGATCCTTAAAAATAATGAACATAATGGGGATGAGAAGTTTGGTTAATTTTTTGATGATTAAACATAATAGTTATATTATTGTGGGTTGAAAACCCTATGTACTCACCATTTTTCTCAACCTGACCCACTCAGTTTATTTGTATCACAGGTGTCGATACGAAGCTACATTACACTGAGAGATTTACGAAGATGTAAATCATTAGTGTAAATGAATGTAAGGTCTGTTTATGCTTATGTTTCTGTATTGACGATGACATCCCAATGTTTTAATATACACAAACTACATTTCTTCGGAAATGCTTTGATAATATCTTTATCATGTTTTCTGGGAACAAATTCCGCAATATTATTCTTTAAAGTGGATACTCTGATATTTAAATAAGCATAAATAAAAATTTTAAAATGACCGTGAATTTGGAGATGTCACATTATGGACTATGGCCCGCTCCCGACTCTTGTCGAGTAATGGGCTTTTGTTGGGCCGTTACCGAGTTAACGATTTCGTTATCCTTTGACGTTTCTTCCGGTGAGATACGTCAACAAAAGCATATTATAATATAACTCACCAGACCACAATGTAGTAAATGTTTCACGTTTTCCAGGTTGAGGTAGCAACAGTGCTACGAGAGAAGACTGTAGCACAAGGACCTAGATTAGGAGTAGTTTATTTCTCTATACATTCCTTGTTACTTGTTTAACAGATAGATTTTATTGTAAACCAATGATTAAACTTGAGATTTAAAGTGTTTTAAATTTTATAGAATTCCACATTTTTTTCTGATGTATCCTTATAGATGTATGTATAAATAAAATCTGAGTCGTTACACGTTGTTTGTAGATGTGGATGATGTTGTTATGGACGACGTGGGGTGTAGGAGAAGGAATAAAATACATCGGTGTAGGAGAACGAACACGTGATCGATCGATGGAATAAATCAATAGTTACGTTGTTGCGTTATTTTGGTTCAAATGGGGTGGACTAATTTTCCTTCAAGTTATTAAGACCATACTCTAGATTTTAGCCCGAACATTGAAGTCCAAGTCATCTTCAACGGCTTAAATAGTTTTGGCCGGTTTATTACAATTGGTTCAACCGGATATTCACAAAAACTGTTCGGTGCTCTCCTGCCCAAAAATATATAAGCATAAAACTGATGCTTATTAACCCGTTCTCTTCCCGGATTATCGGTTCGAACATGTTTTTAAAACATTGGTCGAGAATGAGATCTCAAAATGCTTTAACTAGATCATACTTCAAACTAGAAAGAAATATCATGGAAGATATTATGATATATGTCATGAATAGATTCTTTAAGATGGCCATACGTAAAACACAGAGATGGTGACTTAGATATGTCCCTTAATAGTTAATACTAAAGTTAAAAAACAAAGAAAAAGAGTGTTCAAAGGACATTATGTCAACACTTATTCTTCTTCATTATGTGCATTTCATGAAACCTTATGTATCATTATTTGGAAACTATCTCATCAATCCATTCAAAAAACTTCAATCATTTCTTAACTATATAATTAGGGCATCTAAAAAAATCTCTTAACTGACTTTTTCTTTGCCCATAAAATCGAAGACTAATTAGCATCATCATCACAATAGCATCTACCATTTTGTTGATTTCTTTTGCTTTGTACAAAAAAATGGAGCTTAATTGTCTTGATTTGGAAACCATCGAGCTTGTTTTTTGAATTGCTTCAGTACCAATAACAAAGAGACCAAATTAAATGAGACAATCCATAATTTAACCTAATTAAATGGTGTGCCATGTGACAAGCCACACCAAACATCAAACATAAGACAAACCGATAAACCGGCAAACCGGAAGAAACGTGTTAGTCAACATTGATTATTTATTTATTTAAATTTAAATTTAAATCATGTTTTCTACATACGTAGAAAAAACAATTAAAATAACAGAAAAATAATAATAACCAACATAATGATTTTCTTAGCATCATTTGTGTATTGTGATGGTATTATTAACTACCGGTTTCGTCGACATTTGCCTATCCTGGATTATTTTAACCAAAATTGTGTGAGAGAGAAAATGACTGTATGAGAGAGAAAGAGAGAAACGTGGCGGGAATACAGCGCAACCGGAAATATGAAGAACAGTGGAAGCCGCCACGTTGCCAAATGTAGTCGGTCAACCGTCCCTCACCGCTTTCAACGTAACATCTTCCATTCCCAAGAATTTCAAAATCTCTATCATAATACTATCAAATTTCTTTGTTCTCTAAAAGAATTTCAGTTCCTCCGGTTGCTGTTTTGTATCGAGAGAAAATCATCAAGGTGAAGTAACAATGGGAAAGGCGGTGGTTCTGATGGTGTTATGGCTGACGGCGAGTGCGACGGTATGCCGGAGTTCTAACACGGCGGAGAGGGGTGTCGAGAACGTGAAAGATAAGGCGAGTAAGGTGGCAGGGAATGTGAAGGTGAAGGCCGAAGGTGCTGTGGATGGGGCTAAGGATAAAAGTGGCACATGGGCAGATTGGGCCATGACAAAAGTCACCACGTAAGCAATATATCTTCGTTTTTTTCAATATATAATCAACATGTTAGATTAGGTTTTAATTACAGGAATTTTACACTTTGTGTTCTTTGAAAACCTTTTCTTAAAATCAGAGATTCAAGATTACTCTTAAGATTTTGATTAAGAAACATTATCGTAGTAAGCTAGTTGCTAACTTCGGGTTTCTTGTTCGTGGATGGAATTGCCTTATAATATGTTCATGAACTAATAAATTTCAATTTGGATTACAATTAGGAACTTGAATAAATGGAATTATGAAAAAATCTCATGTATTGTGGGGTATCTATTGGGATTCAAAATTCATGGCTTTCTTTTGGATTAACAGGTCTTGACTAATACTGAAATTGTGATAAACTCTCAAATTACAGTTTAATTTGTGCATATAATGAAATTTGATTCTCCGTAATTGTAATGATGGAATAGCATATATTAATGCATCAAGATTGGTAATTAAGCAAGTAGAATCCAAAATCAGAATCATCGCTTCTGATACTTCCATCTTATTAATGATGCTAATTGAACTATAACAAAATTAAGATTTGATTAGGAAAAATCAAATTAGGGTATTGCAAACATCTGACAAGGATCAATTACTTGGCATCCCAATTAAGATAGGTTGACGACTTTTATGTAGAAGATGTTATTTTAAAATTGAATTAATTTTATCAATATATATATATATATATATATATATATATATATATATATATATATATATATATATATATATATATATATATATATATACAAAAAATTGGTAACAATTGAAACATACAAGTAGAAGTAGGTTTTAGCAATGTTCTCCATTGGTTCATTATCATCACTTTGTCCATCTTCTGAGTTATTTTTGTCTTAATTTAATAACCAACTTTTATATATGAACATATTAGGGGTCTTCGTTTAAATAAGGATGGTGTCAAAGAAGGTGCTCAGAATGCAGTGGATAAAGCTAGTGATGCTGCATCAAGAAGCACAACCCAAATGAACAATGCTGCTGCTGGTATTAATCGTATTTACAGATATGCATACATACATTCATCCACATGCAAATATCATGTAATTAATTAATCCTATCTATTTGTTTACAGAAACTTCAAAGTACGTGTCTCAAAAGACCGAAAAAGTGGGAAACTTGGCATCTGAAAAAGCAAGTCAAGCCATGGGCTGTGGTGGTGATGCTCAAGAAAATGGAGAGGTGGTTGGATTAGAAGCATATGCATACATTTCTGGACTTGCAAATGAAGCCATGAAAAGAGTTCAATCAATGACTAGTGGTGCTGAAGTGATAATAGAAGAGAAAGGGAATTATGCATATGATGAAGGTTCAGATATGGCCCAAAATGCTAAAGAAACAATGAAGGATAAAGCATCTGAAGCGTATGATAATGCGGATAAAAAAATACGAATGACAACTGATAGAGTGGTGTCAGAGGGTAAAGACAAAGCAGAAGATGCGTACAACTCAGCCGCTGACGTGGCGTCTGATGTGGCGGATCATGCAAAAGAGAGAGGTTCTGATGCTTATGATAAGAGTAAAGATAAGGCTGAGGAAGCTTTTGGGGTTGCAAAAGATGCAACGAAGGAGAAAGGTAAGGAAGCGTATGATGTTGCAAAGGAGAAATCATCGGATGCTTATGATGTTGCAAATGAGAAATTGAAGGAGAAGGCTATGGAAGCTTATGGTGTTGCACAAGATAAAGGTTCAGATGCTTATGATGCAGCTAAAGAAAAAGCAACCGATGGTTATGATGTAGCTAAAGACAAAGCATCCGAGGGCTATGATGTAGCCAAAGAAAAAGCATCGGAGGGCTATGATGTAGCTAAAGACAAAGCATCCGAGGGATATGATGTAGCTAAAGAAAAACTATCTCAATCCTATGATGCAGCTAAAGATAAGATTGATGAATCTGGGATTACAAAGGATTCAATGAAGGAGAAGGGTAAGGAAACATATGATGTTGTGAAAGAAAAAGCATCTGATGCTGCGGAGAATGCAAAGGAAAAAGCTAAGGAAAATTATGAGGTTGCTAAGGAGAAGACATCAGATGCTGCAGCGAATCTAGGAGAGAAAATGAGGAATTAGTTAATGCTATATGTGAGAATTCAACATGAACTTCTTTTGATCATTACTATGATGCATGGCTGTCTTCGTTCTCCTTGAGGTTTCTTCTTTCTTGTTTTTATACTTTTGTTGGTAGAATATACATACATCATAGATTGTTGTAGCTCTTTGTTTTATAAATATATAGTTATAATACGCGATGTTAACTTCCTGTTGGAAGTGTTAATAAGATGTATATATATAATAGTACATTGCCAAAGGTGGCATTTCGATAATTTCCTTTTTCGCTTAAAGGAGTATAGTTGGTATATATTTATTTTTTTGGTTTTATATCATTTGTTTCCAAACTAATATGACTATGTTGTCATGCAACTCTTTTGTTACACTAGACATGTGAGACAACTCGTTGTACAGTGTTTGGCTTGCTTTTGAAGAGTATAGTCAGACTGACTGGGGCCGATGTCAATGAACTAAAAATGTGGAACAAAGTGGGATATGGACTTGCCCTTGAACTCTCATATGTGCAAAATATGTAAATAAAATTTCAACCTCATCATTGAAAATAACCTTAGAAGGTCTGCTCAGTCCCATCTAGTCTACTCTAGTCTAGTCTAGTCATATAACATGTGCAAACTTTAGTATACACAATGGAAGGAGTATTATTATGTTCTCTTGTGAAGAAAACAAGAAGCAGTATGTAAAATCTCCACACGAACCAACTTTGTTACACTAGACATGTGGGGCCGATGTCAATTGTATTCGACACTCTTGAAGTAAGGTAATTATTTTTTGAGCATTTTTTACTGCTTTGATTTCCTTCTAAAAATCGTATCACCCGTGGAATCGTTTAAGTTATGTTAGTGGTAGTTGTCCTTCTCCCCTTTAAAAAATTAACTCAATAATGGTTTAGGGTTTCAACTTTTATTATTAAATTATATTTAGATGCTTAAAATGTTTTTATATTATTATTGTTATTATTACCATTATTAGGGCTGCAGATGGCATGCTTGGTACCTGATGGCTGATACAAGTCTTCTTGGAGCTATTTTCTCATATTTTCTTCTCTAAAAGTTAAGTTTTATATATCTATATTTTGTTATATTCAATATTTAAACTGTGAAGCATATTTTGTCTTTAACCCATAGGTACAAGCTCAGAATTATATTTGTCAGACTACCTAGAGAACCACATATATATAGCTCATAAATCATATAAATTATTGAGTTTCTGTAAACACGTATCTCCATATCTACAGCGTATCTGAGGTTTGATCGAATTCTAGAGTACATGCATTAGTGTGTAGGGGACAACTCTTTAATATTATTAAAAATGGCCCCATTATTGAAGGATGCACAGTGAAAGCTCTTTGACGAAATGTAGTACAAGAGGAAACAAGTAATAGTACTGTTAATGTTGGGGAGAAATTAAGCTTCTATTATTGAAGAACTTAATGGGTTTAGATCCTTAATTCCTCTATTAAATTAATCATTTATCATAAATTGTTAGTATTTGTGTCTTATTAGCATCATCACATAGATATGTTTTAGGATTAGGATTAATGTCATAAATGAGTAACCAATTATTTGTTTCTATACAAAACGCTATTCATTCCAAAAAATAACGCAAGTAACGAATTATCTGATTTTCCCCCACAAATTATCATTAAAATCATTATAAATAATGGTATTAATTTTGTGAACAATTTACTTTCTGATAGCATTTTTTTTTAATTAATAGTGTTTCGTGAAAAAAAAAATAGTTTGTTAGTTACTAGATTATTAGATTAACCCTATGTTCTATTGTTGGTGCCTAATACTTACTTCATGACATATTGATCATCAAAAGATAGAAATATTCTATGGTATATTGATCAAAAGATGAAAATATATCATAAGAATTAGTCAAACGAGACTACAATATTGATCTTAATTAAAATCTTGGGAGGCATAAATTAAAATATATGTATGTAGTGTTGCTATTGGCTATATATCGCCTAAAATCCTATGCTAATAATAGGTAAAGAAAAACAGGAAAAGTTTAGGTCAATTAATCTGTAGAGATCAGATCATGAGATTAATTAATGATAATCTTACGGTTGTTTCTTCTTCATGGCTTGTTTGCTGTTGTGCATCCATACTTTGAACACTTGTCTTTTCAATCCAACTTCATTGCAGAATTCTCGAATCTCTTGTTCATCTTGCTTCTGAATCTTCCACCCTATTCTTTCAGCAAAATCATGCATCTTTTCCTTTTGTTCTTCACTGAATTTTGTTCGGAATCTTTTCTTTGATGGCTGCTCCATCATGTGTCGACCGGCGTGTGTCCGGTAGATGTCAAGGTCTTCACTTGATGATTCCGTCGGTGCAACACTGTTCCCAGCGAACGCCACCATGATTGGCGGCGTCTGGCGGTGGTGGTACCTGAGGTGTTGTTGCTGATGATGAGGTGGCTGCATTGTCGTAGATCGAGGTGGTGGGTTATGTATCGACATCGAAGGTACCCTTGTGGCGGATGGCTCGCCTTCCACCTCTCGTCGGTGGAAACTCCGGTGGCATTCACAGGCGGCGCATTTTAAACCTTCTGGAGTATTTTCTTCTCCACTAGCCATAAACTCCCCACACCCATCGACAACATGTGCGCCCATGCTGGCAGCATGGTTCTTTAAGCATTCCCGGTATCGAACCGCCACATCAGGCGGTGGCAGTGGCGGTGGTGGTGGCCGTGTTTCAGACACTGGTTCAGCTGGAGATGGAGCTGGATCTGGATCTGGGTCAAGTTCTCTTCTTCTTTCTCTATACGCTTCCATTTGTTCTTCTTGCAATAATCCACCATAATCGTTTCTCTGAAGTAGATGAAGACGACGTTGATCTGAGCTCTCATTCCTTGTAGCGTTTGAAGAATTCAAACCTCCATAACTGAAGATGGAAGGTGATATTAGCCGATTAGCTTGAGATGGGTTATTATGATTAATACCCAAACCCTCTCTCTCTCTAGCTTCCATGTTTCTCTCTCTGTAAACGAATATTACTCTAAGATCTCTCTGAACTTAAAATCTAAAAGGAAAAATATCAAATCTAGCAGAAACCAATTCAGAACCTCCCAATAACCCTATATTGCGTGAGGTGAGAAGTTAATGGAGAATAAAACTTAATAGTGCACTGAACTGTAGTAAAAAAAAGAATCTTCAACCGCTAAAGTGATGACATTTTCCCATCAAACAGGACCCCACGAAATGCAGGTTTTTAATCAGGAAGGAGAGATTTGCAGACAGAAAAGGAGATCGATAATGAATGGAGGTTGAAGAAAGTGTCTCCTAAGAACCCATCACGAAGTCATGTGGTTATAAAGAAAGTATTATTCAAGAACAAAAGAAACAAAAGAAACAAAAGAAGCAGATCATGGGTCGGGTTTGGAGCTGAAAAAGTAAGAAACTTGTGAGGATAGTGTTATCGGGTGGTCCAGTTTGCCTAGTGTTCTCCCATGGAAGAAGAAGAAGAAGAAAGTTTATAAGTTTGTATGTGGTCGAATGGTAGTAGTGATGATTAAGTGTTTTTGTTGCCTTGTCTTTTCCTACATTCTCATTATTCCATTGTTAGGAATGGGTTCGAAAAAGGCAACTTTCTCCCTCACCCGAAACAACTGAATTCAGGTGTATGATTCTTTAGTGGTTTGTACATTGTGCATAGGTACTTGTATGTTTGAAGGTGCTTAGTGGTTTTAGATTTGGGAGGTAATGACACGATCTTCTAAATAGGGGAGGAGGGGTAAAGGAGAGGGGGTCTGGGTTGTTTTTTTAATTAGGTGGGGTGTGGAGTTAAAGGGAAAATGATGGTCCACAATTCTCAGTCTTTTGAGGACAGGGCTATGCCAGGGCCTTGAAGGTCCGTTCTTTTGTCATCTAATGCTTCACCGCGTACACGGCCTACTTTTATTATTTATAAGCACATGTTTGTGGGTGGCTGCTAAAACAAGCAAGATATAGCAATGAATTATAACATGGTCTTTGGATTTTGGAACCATGTAGCCCTTACGGTTCCTATTTGCATAGGACAAAAACTGTTGATGGATTTATAAGGCCCAGTTTGGCGAGGAGAACTAAGTGGAACTAACATAATTAAAAAACTTCCCATAGTGTTTGGCGTGTTTGGAACAATAACTAAATGAAATTTGACCCAGTCCAATGGGACAATTTACTAAAAAAGTAGTCCTACCCAAATAGGTGGAACTCGGTAGAACACGTTCTTCTCTTTTCTTAATTTGACGAAAATAACCCTACATGGAACGGCTTGCTACTCCAGATTTCTCGTTATCTACATTCTCAAGTTGTTCTTGCATTCTTCAAATAATTATCAACTTCTTCGTATAATCATCTCAATCCATTGTAAACACAAACTGATTATCGATTCTTCATCCTCGATTTGATGCCATATGACTTCTCCAGCCATTGAATTCTTATAACAGCCATTGAATTCTTATAAGTGCCGTTTGATTCTTATCATCACCAGGAATGATTAAACTTCAGAATATGCATCTCTTCAATTAGCTGAACGATATCTTAATTTATATGTTTTAATTTCGATTTGATGCCTTAAACTGCATTTGTTGCTTTGTAAATTCATATGTTTATAATTTTGAATAGCTTGAAGTTATCAGTAATCACTACCGATTTGCAATATTTTTGCAGAATTAATCAGGTAGCTTGTAATGTATGTTTATTAAACTCTTCCCAGCAATTTTCAAAAGTTTTTAACGATATAGAGGGAAGATAATGGTTGATTATGCTATGTCTTTAGCCCTCTTGATCGATCTTGCCCAAAGAAAGTCAATTACCTTGTGTATTTTGTTTCCTTTTGCTGGTTTTAAATTAAAAGGAACATGTTAGAATATGATTAATTTAAGATGTTATTGGTTATGCTTCAGATCAGTTAAAGGTAGTATCAACTTTAGGAGGCTAAACATTCTTTGTTAATGTTGATAATGTGTTCCATTTTTTGACCAAATTATCCCTAAGCTTTTGTTCCTGTCCAGTTTATGATAAACATCCTCGTTGGTTCTTCGGAGACTAAAATAAGCAAACTTTTGCTGCCCAGTTTAGTACCTGTCAAGTTTATGTTATTTTGTCCGGTTCAAGTTGTAGATACTCAATTTCGGACGAAATTGCCCCTGAACTTTTGTACCTGCCCTTGAGTTTTTTTTACCTG